GGGTAATAGCAAAAATTCATTTTATTTCCATTCAAAATCCATTGAAAAATGCCAAAAATCCTAATAAACCAAAACGGATCGACACCTCCGTGACTTTGCTTTGCTTGGTGTCGAACCTGTACCCGACCCGTCCGACGGACGCTCCATGATCGCGCCGACAACCACTGAGCCAAGAGAGAATGCTCCCGAATGGCCCGAATGGCAAGAGAGAATGGCCCGAAATTCTCGTTAGCTAATGGATGATCCGCCCAGTAAAGCCAATAAATGTTATATTCTTTTTAATTTTGAAGGTTTTCATCTGAAAAACCTATCCATTTCTTATTAAAGTGGTACTTCCTTTGATCATCTAATTAAACAATGAATATCTCAAATCTTTCACTCATCTATTTCTCCAAAAATTGTCTGAATAGATGAGAAATCAAGAAAATTTTCATTTTCGAAGAACCGATTACGTTTCAGTTCAATCTTTTTCAAAATCGGCTTTAATTTACTGTATTTTTTTTTGAAAATTTCTCATTTCAGCGAGGGATAATCCAATTTAAATCCCGAAAAAGTTTGCGTAACCCTGAGAAATTCATCGAGGCCGTTGTAGCCGATTCAATCGTTGCTCGATTTTGCTTGCACAGATTTACAATGGAAAAGGTGAAAAAGGGGAAATCGACGGATTATCAAATCAAATTAAATATCAACTACGGTATAAAAATTTGTGAAAAAAAAAGAGAAAGATGTAGGTGTACTGAACTCAAAAAAAAATCGACAAGGGTTCATTGTTGAAGAGATTAGTTTCACGAGAAATGAATGGAAAAGAGATTTTGGAACGAAATGAGGGGAATTGAAAAGAGAGAAGAGTTCAGAGGCTATACTCATCGAGAGCTAAAGGGAACTTTTTGAAGAAAAAGAAGCGAAAGGGATCAACGGAATATCTTCGAATTCATCGAGAATTGAGCGCCCTCTTTACTATAAGAACTGATACTTTTGATTTGATTCTCATTCATCTCTCGTCAATGCTACAATTCATAGAATTTGAACAATAAGGTACAATTTTAAACCTAATCTAGATCTATTTTCAGAAATTTTCCCATAAAAAAAGAGTCTGATTAGTTCAGAAACTAGAATCATTTTGAATGAATCGGTTTGAAGATTTCTGCAGAGAAAATGGAAAATGGAAATGAATTCGATAAGAATAAATTCAAATTTTCAACGTTGTCTGCAGCTTTATCTAGAAGGATTTTAAAAGTACAGTTATTTAACCTCTTCTTTATTGATAATTTTTGGTTATACTTGTCATCTTGACAAAATCTTGTCAACGAGCGTCTTGGTACTTCGATTAGCCACTTCAGCAAGGAAACATTTGGGTTTGTTTAGGTGGCGGGGTATTACCGAAAAGTATGCTTACATCTTGTAATGTCATTTAGATAACTTTTCTAAGCTAGGCTAAATTCAGCCAAATTGTTTTGAATTTAGGCTAGCCTGATGGGCAGAGGCCTTTAACGTCAAAAATATTACAATCTTCGAATTTAGACTAGCCTGAGCCTGAGCCTAAACCTCTGCCGAACTGACATCAGGCTAGCCTGAGTCTCAGCCTAAACCTCTGCCGAACTGACATCAGGCTAGCCTGAGTCTCAGCCTAAACCTCTGCCGAACTGACATCAGGATAGCCTGAGCCTGAGCCTAAACCTCTGCCGAACTGACATCAGGCTAGGCTAAATTCACAAATACACGCATTGATGCGATGGAAGGCGCTAACCGCATAGTACCGTTTTTGAAAATTTTGAAGTGGTCGAGGAATAACCGAAAAGTATCTCTTTATTTGATTTGATCCTGACTTCGCCAATGTTTTGTGAACTTTGCACACAAAAGCCGGAACGCACTGCTTCTGGTGCATTGCACATCCGCGCGAAAGTGCGTTTTCTGATGAAAATTGATGTTATATCTACCATGGATGAGAAAAAGTGTGCTAAATCCGAATCTCGACATCATTTTTAAATTCCATCGACAGTTTTTTTAAAAAATGCGCTTTTTCGAAAAATGTAAAAAAGCCAAAACTTCAGTTCGTAAAACGGCCATAAAATCTTTCACCTTTGAACAATTTGCTTACTTTTTAAATATTCTAAAAATAGACACTTCCAGCTTTTTTTTATTATTATAAGTTATAAGCAATTTGTTAGAATTACTCAAATTTTAGAAAAGGAAAAGTATGAAAATCTCAAAATCAAGACCAAGGTTTTAAGGTCTAGATTTTAACCTTTGACCTTGATTTCGACCTTCACTGTCAGCTCTCAGTTGTGCCATTTTGATCTTTTGATCATTCCTAACCATTTTTGAAAACGGCAATAAGTAATGCATGATTTGTTTTCAGGAATCTACAAATGAATCAGTTCTTGTTGCAAAGCAAGTCTGGTTGCAAAGCAAAAATTTGAATTGAGAATTGAGATCAATTCAGTGCACCCAGAAAGTGTACGTTTCTCACCAAAAAAATTCACCCACAAACTAGACAACGATCTCAATTCAAATTTTTGCTTTGCAACTCATAGAACTGATTCAAGAACTGATTCAAGAACTGATTCATTTGTAGATTCCTCAAAACAAATTATACATTACTCATTGAAATCCTATTTAAAAACTAAACAAATCTCATAATTCTTTAGGGGGATTTTTGCATTTTATCTTATTTTGCGTGAGAATCAACCGTTTTCCTCATCTCTTTACAAAACCAAACATTTCAATCTCCATTTGTAATAGGTTTAAAGCATGCGAATCTGGGAAATCCTACGAAAAACACCCTTTAAAATCGCTCAGAAAGTACTTATTTTTCCACAAAAAAAACTACGCATTCATTCACCTTTTCTCTCGAAAATCTTAACCTATCTGATTCATATTAAATTATGCACGAAATCTTCTTGACATCTTCTTGACAAAACAACAGAAAAACGAGGAAATTTCTATGAGTTTCCTCTTTTGATTTTTTTTTACCCTTTTTCAATCCATTATTTCAATCCACCCCCACTGGGACCGATAATTTAATATTATTATTAAATTTTTAAATCAAATTATTTCTACTAATTGCCATTTGACGCATTTACAAAACTAGGGAAAAAATCAAACTTTGTCTCTTTGGGGAAATGAAATTTAAAAAAAAAAAAGATGGTTACGAGTAAAATTTGTTGTATTTGAATTCCGGGGATACATTTGAAAAGTTGTTGGCTGAATGGATTGTGGTTTAGTTGCTACCGTAAATACTGTAATAGTACCCCACCCCCCTCGTACAGTCGCGTAGTCACAAAGGTTTTTTAGTATTTAATTTTTTTCAAAGCGCCCGTACTTTCAAAATATGCGTCTTTGGTATCAAAAAATAACCTTGAATTTCAGCTATTTTTTGATAACTAAGCGCACATTGTAGCATAAAACAGTGTCGAGAAACACTCGTTCAAAGCTCGACTACGCAACACTCCGCACCGTCATTATGGGAGTGGGGTGCTATTACAGTATTTACGGTAGTTTTTTTTGTTGCATGCAAAACTGTCAAAGATGCGCTGTCAAAGGGCATGAAAAAGTGAAACGTTTATTGTTGATTTTCTTAAAACTTTAGTAAACAGGTGCTGCTTGTCGATATCCCCAAGCATTGATATATTCTTGAACATATGGAGAAAGATTCGTTGATTGAACACCCTAGAATATAAAATGACTTCAAGATTGTCTTCAATTTTCATACTACTAAAGTTTAGTGCAAAAAAAGGAAACTGATTACGATAGAAAAGTTGAATCTTTATATTGGAGAAGATAGTTTGCATTCACAATTTACATTTAAATCTTTTTTAGCACCGTAATCTACCATAATCCTTTTAAAAACCGACCAAAATTTGGATAACTCGTGGATGTGGATGTTCTCCAAAAGGCCATGATACAGTGCCAAACGGAGAATCGAATACACGAGAATCCGGAAATTCTTTCGTCAACGCTAATGGAGGCAAAAGATGACAAAATGAGAGCTAAAGCTGGAAATTTTCTTTGGGATTCTCCCCAAAACTAACCTTAAAAATGAATAATTGTAATAATAGAGTGCAGAGGTGAGCCATTTATTGTTTAAAAATGAACGGTATGATGATTGATGCGATATTTGACGGTCATTCAGTTATTCATTGGCATGTCCAATCCTTCGATCCGATTCCCGTTTCTTTCAAGCTGTCATCCTTGATCTTTCTCTTTTCTTCGTTCTTTCCACCCACTCACGTCACTTTCTCTTGTGTAAGGGCCATCATTTTCTGTTTTCTTCAACTACCGATCTAGCTATTCCAAATATCTACAAGAAACATGAGTTCAAAAATGCTGCACACATCTGTCCATGTCATGTGTTTTTTTTACCAGATTTCCTAACCGTATGCACATTTCCCTCTCCTCTTCCCAGAATTTATTCGTCCAAATATAAACGCCTAAAAGGAAAATCCTTCAAAATAACATCAAAATACTGTAAACAAAGAAAAAATATAGGTAGTGATAAAGAAACTCGTTGTACATTCAGGGAGAATAAAGAGATCAATGCATATGTCGCTTATGATTCTCAGTCGTTAGTGAATCTAACGGATTACACACGAAGAACAAGCTTTAAATATAAAGCAGCAAAATGCAAACGAGAATATGTAGAAATTTTGGTACTTCTGGATTGTCGGGGCGGGGAATCACAAATTTTGCTATATAAGCATCATTATCCTGTTCTTTTCCTCTGATTTAGTCTTTGTTCCTGCCTCTTTCATGCATTGCTATTCTCGTTTGCATTTGGCCAATTTATATTTAAAGCTTGTTCTTCGTGTGTAATGTGTTCGTGATTCACTAGCGGCTGAGAACCATAAGGGCTACGACACATATACAAACAAAATCAAGGGTTGAACAAAAACAAATTACAACGTTAATAGGGTGAGATCAAACGACAAAAATGATAATCTAAAAAAAAATCTATATATTTGGTGGTCAGCTTTCTCCTAATCGATATGTGAAGACTTCTACCGTGGCACCGAAAGTCGATTCAAGCGAGACACCGTCTCACGTAATCCATATCTGAAAAAGTGTAGAATGAATAATGGAAGAGATCAAATATTTTCCATTAAACTATGAATAGTTCACCCACCTCATGCTTTAATTTTACCTGATTGTGAGATTTATCAGTATCACTTTTGTACTTACCGAGTCTTGGCTCTTTCTTCTGTTGTTCCCACTTCAACGCTACTTCCAGACATGCTATCGCTGTTTTCATCCAAACCAGTAAAAGCCCCAGTTCCATGTCTAAAAGAAAGAACTGGTAAAATTTAATCTTTCATATAAATCACTGACCGTTCACAAGTGTAACATTCGCATCTTTCGTTTCGATCGCCGAAGAAATCCTCTCCATAAAAGATTGTAATTTCTTCGCCCGGTTCGATGTTTCGAATTGCCTAAAAACATTTTTATAACACAAATTCTTAATGTGTCTGCCTTTAAAAACCTAAATAATAGTCTACCTGAATAGATGCTGTTTTCCCTACTGAAACCCATTGACATGATGGGTGACAATCGTGATTGATATAGGCACCCGGACCTAACCATAATTGAGCACATTGCTTCCTAAAACATTTTTGCTTGTCAATATCAAGTATTAAGAGCGAACCTTGTGCTATACATGACGGAAAAATCGTTGATACCAGGACGAAGAATGGATTCCTCTTCTTTCACTGACATTTCGCTCACCACACCATACAAACGAGTGAGATGTTCTCCCTTGCGCCTAAAAAACTTTTTATAGAACGGAAAAATAAAAAAATTTAACCAATATTTTGTAGCGACAAGTTTGGCCCCTTTCTTATCTTCTTGTGAATAACGACTGCATGATTCAATCGTAAATCCACTTTCTTTGCTGAACATTTGTAGAAAACGAACCACCTAGAAAATAAATATATCCAATGGATAAATTTTCACTTACATGATCTCTAAATTCCTTTTGTTTATTGATCGGGTAAGCGAGAAGAAATTTATTAATTGACCTAAATGCAAAGGTTGTTAAGTTTTAAAAGGCTTTTAAATAATTTTAAAACGAAAGCTCACCTAATTTTTAAGAAATCTTGGAAGACAGCTTTGCAATTTTGTTCCTGTCGAAATTTGCGCATTATTTCGATCGCACGTCCATTTTCGTTTTTTAAGTAACGAGTCCTAAACACAGATTTTCAGTCTTTAAAAACACAAACAAACCTTTTGAACATTTTGTGCGTTTGAAAGCCAAGAATCGAGTCGACGACAAGGGCTGTGGCACAATCATCAAATGCCGACAATTCAAGCGGCGTCAAAGAGTGTTCGGCGCTGGGCATCTAAAGAAGAAAATGTAATAACATTATACGTTTAAACTTTTTCATCTACTACATTTACTTATTCATTAAATTGTAAAACAAATCAGCTGCTTTAGTAGTCTTTTTATTCTTGGTTACTTCTTTCAACGTGTTCAGGAGTTGAGCCTCGTCGACTTCTTCTATTTGATCCGGCATTTCACCTAAATCATTTCATAAAAAATCGCAGTGCAAATTAAAAATATCACAAGAACACCAGTATAAAAACAACATATGATTCAATTCAATAAAAGCTCTTTTCTTTTAAACAGCGTTTTGTCATACAGAAGATCGGGTCGACTTCAAGAAGTTGCTCACAACCAAAGAGTGAAAGAGCTGCTGAGCCAAAAACCGTGTGAAATGGATCCGGGCAATCTCCAGGTCGATCAGCAAATCCACCTTCCTCGTCTTGACAAGCATAAATAAAAGATATTTGTTTATCTTTGTCGATCCAATCGAGTCTTCTTAGAATCGCTAACGAAGCCAGCACCCACCATCCATAACATACATCGGGCAACTTCTCGGGTCTTCCATTCAATCCACCACTTTCACATTGTCTTTGTGCTAACCACATTGCTGTTTTATCCACATCAATTTCTTCCAATCGACCGGCTATTGCTAAAGCGCCCACGCAGCAATAAACTTGTCCCGCATGGCTTTCTGAACCTGGCCGTGTTCCAAAACCACCATCAAAATTTTGGCATTGAAGTACAAATTGAACAGCTTTTTCTTCATCAATGACATTCAAACAATCAAGTAGATAAAGTGTGGCCAAAGCACAGAGTGAAAATCGCGTGTCAATCTCTCCGGAGACATCTCCATCAAATGATCCATCCTCCTTTTGTCGACTTTTCACATATTTTGCCACAGCTTCTTTATCACATTCGTCCAGTGCATCGAAAATAATGAGAATTTGAACAGCACACAAAGTGTGAAGAAGATGGCTATCGTGTTTTGGAGCCGGTGCATACCCACCATCATCTCGTCGACATTCACGAAGATATTCCAGAATTTCTTGTCGATTCAATCGATCCAGCGCATTCATTAAATCCAACGCCGACGTACACCAATAGATTCCGCTCATTCGAAGTGGTTCCGCCATGACGAACTCGTAATCCTCTTTATTTCTCACGTATTTTTCGATGAATTGCGCGTTTAATTCCCTCGTGTACTCTTTTGGGGCATTCTTCGGAATCTCCACATCTTTTCGAGCCAAATCCAGAAAGCCGGCGAACATTCCTGAAAAAAGCAAATCTTGAAATATAATACAGTTGCATAGGAAATTTATAAAAACATAGGTTTCACAATAACTTGGCCAATTTGTTGTTTTTTCCAAAAAGAGAGACAACAAAAGGGGGAAATAGGAAGCGTCTCTGCTACGTGTCAATACAATGAACAATTGTATTCTGTAATAAATAAACAACTATGTGTCTACATAAATTTTGTATAAGTGAAGAGAACATAGAGAAGCCTTTTCGACCCTTTCAATCAAAATTGAAATTCCATATAGGGAAAAAAACGGTTTGCATCATGAAAACATCGATTTGAGCACTTATTGCGCTTGCTTTCGCGTCAAAATTAAAAATTTGCGCTGTTTTTATAGACTATTCGCAGATTTTCCCAAAATTACATAAGAAAATGATCCATCACATTATTTTTCTACACTAGAGATGAAAACAAAACAAAACGATTTTTTTTTCGCTCACATTGCTTTTTGTGTATTTTTTTTCACTTTACAAGAGATATTCAATCAATTTACGTCCGATTTTCCGACGTTAATGAAAATTTATCATTTTTCTTTCAACTCATCCATACTTTTCCCAAATTCTACTGGAAATTTCAAAATCTCTTCTTCTACAGCGCAACTAATCACTAAATCTAAGCCGTTAATCTCTGAACTCTATGATTGAAACAAATTTAACTGCTTTCAATGCCACATATTTTATTTGAAAATCTGAAAAAAGAGATTGGATATGCAAAATTCAGGAATACATCAACCGCAATCCATCCTTTTTTCTATTTGATTTCCTTTGAATGAGTGACCTCAAATTGGCATGCGGTTCTTTCAAGCGATTCTCCTCACTCTTTTGAGTTTCGCCACAGCCGATGATGTGAGTTCAATAGCACACAATAATCCTTTAAATAAAATAGGTCTAAATCAAAGCAATTTAGGTAATCTACAGTTCGAATCAAGGCCACACTTTTGGCACAGTTCTCGTGTCGACAATCGATGGACAACTCAGAGCACTTGACACTTTTAATGGGAGACAAAAATGGGCGCTGAAAGAAGGTAAATAGGAATATTTCATGAGAAACAGTCCAACAATTATTTCCTTTTTTTAGCACCAGTTCTTCGTGCTCCAAAAGCCATCAAACAAGGCTTCACATTTCTGCCGAATCCACAAGATGGAACATTGTATGCACTAAAAGAGGGAGCACTCAAAAAGATGCCATTTTCTATTCCACAACTTGTTCATCTTTCTCCATCAAAAGACAATGAAGGTGTACTGTATGCTGGTATGCTTAAAACAATATTCATTTAAACAAAGAAACACTTTCAGGAAATAAGAAAGATGTGTGGTTTGGTTTGGATCCAGAAACGGGAAGCAAAATCGAGACTCTTTCATCGATGACAGCTGAGAGAATTTGTCCGGCCAATAAGGCAAGAGCGGTAAGAGTCACAAAATGATCATTTGAAAATGATCTTTTCCAGATCTTTATTGGAAGGAGTGAGTACCACTTGAGTATGTTCGATACAAAAGACCGAACGAGGACGTGGAATGCAACTTTTACTGATTATTCGGCACATCTATTACCAAGTGAGTCGATCAAGACTAAGAAATGTCTAAAGTTTTCGCTTAGATTCTTGTATGAACTGCTTAGAAATCATTGCTAAATTTTATTATTGCTTAGTCAGTTGCTTTTCTTGCATTTTTTGTATTGGCTACGATAGTGGAAATTTTGATTAAAGTCGTCTAACGATAATTAGATGGAGAATAATGCTTTTTTTTGACGATTGAATTGTTTTTAATTGGTTGTTACTTAAAAGTTTTCTTTCTACGAACTACATCAATTTTTTTTAGTCATTGAAAAATAGAAACGCAGCCTTAAATAGAAGCAATTTTGTAGAATGATTGAAAAATGCGCTTCTATTAGAATAAATACGGTAACTCTACATAATTCTAGCCGATGCTGCTTACCCATTTCAACATTTCGCTTCCTCAAGCACCGGGCATGTGCTCACAGTGGATATTGATGGACAAATCGTTTGGGAAAAGGATTTGGGACAACCAATTGTTGCAATGTATCTATTACAGGTTGCAAAATGTTTTCAATTGTCTTGAATGATGGATCAATTTAGAATGATGGCCTTCACAAATTGCGCTACACAGTGATCGGTCGAGAATCGATGGAACGTCTCATCACGGTTTTTTTTTTTTTTAAACAAAAAAATTTATTCAATTCAAACATAGCCCGTATTTCAAAACACAAACACAATTTTCCGAATAAGAAAACAAAGAATTCGACTTTCTAAATGGCTCCTAAGTATCACAGATTATTGGGGGGATGAGAGTTCAAATTGATAGACTTACAATTCTTTCTTTTAATCATGTTCTTCTTCATATTCTTCTTCAGCTTCTTCTTCTTCACTTGTCATATTATCATAACCTCTTCTTACCATATATCCATGCACAGGACACATCGCTTTCATATGAACAATGAATCCCATATCATTAAATTTACATAGACAAGGTAATTCTTCATCCGGTGGAATATATCGAATACTGCTTTTACTTTTTCGTGAAGCTGGTCGAGATTGTTGTGAAAGAGAACTTGTTGATGAACGGGGTGTCACTTCGACGATTGGTGGAGCATCTTCCAATAACAATAAGGATTGTTTTGAACGGGTTTTGTTTGAAGAATTCACTGATAGTCTTGTGCTCGTTTTGTGAACTGGAGTCGTAAGGGATGAGGGATTTGAAGTATTCGCACTGAAAAAAATCGAGAATTTTCATTCTTTACTCTCAACTTACTCTTTTCGTTTCTGATTCCAAGCTTGGAAGCAAAATATGATCAGTGAGACGATTTCCAATAGACTCACAACAGAAGCACCAATCCAGAGACCAGTTAAACCACCCAAATCAGCCAAAGCACTTGTCAACTAAAAATTGAATTGATCAGCTGTTTGTCTGAGTTTGTTGATGTTAAATGTGTTGATGTTCTAATCTCCGTTTGTCTGAGTTTGTTGATGTTAAAGTCTTGACTTTATTTTACAATACAATCTATTAGGTTGATGCATAAGTGTTTTTGTTTCTTTTCGTCTGCCGTTTCAAGCCAACAAATGCACAAATTAAACTACGGTTGATTTCATTAGAAAAACCAATTATTTTTCTGCAAAATAACATTAAAACGGGTTTAAAAATATTGAATGCCTGGATTTTCTTGAGAGTATGAAGTCGGGTAGTCAAAAAGGGCTAACTCGATGAACTGCCTTAGGTTTAGACACCTTAGCTAAAGAAAACCTATCTTCGTGTCAATAGATAAAAGATAGAGAAAACAAAACGTTTGATATTTCGCCAAAATTTCAGAGAAATTCATTCAGCCAATTTTTCCGTAGAGTTTTTTATAGATTTTTACGAAAAAGGCGTTTTTCACTCTCGAATTTGCTTGAAAGTGAACCGAAATTCATTTAAAAAGATGCAAATTGAACAAAAAAACACTTTTTTTATAGAGCAACCTATAGATTAATTGGTGAATTTGTTACTTTTTAACAGAAGTACGAAAAAAACGAAAAGACTTATGCATCAACCTATTATTAATCACTTACCGTATACTGTGGTGATTCTTCCATCGTTTCATAGTTCAATTCCTCATAAAAAACTTGAATCTAAAGCCGATCTTTATTTAATTATCGAATTCAATTCCTTTATTTAATTATCTAATTTACCATAGCCGCATTCTTCTTATATTTTTCCAAACATAGATAATCTCCAGATGCACATTCCATAACATTTGCTGATCCAGATGGCCATCTTGCCGCTGAATATGTCACTTCATAATTCGTTTCTCTAAAATTCTTTTCATTTCCACTTTTGTCTATTCCCCATTTTCCTCACTCGCATGGTTGATGACAAATGCATTCATCCCAAGAATTGTCCGCGATTTTATTTCCAATATCGATTGTCGTATTCTGGATACATTCTCGAGCTTTTGGATCAACTGCCTTGCAATTCTCTTGTCCTTTCGGTAAGGGATACGACGGATCAGCACATCCACATTTCTCAATGATTTCTTGTTGAGTGCATGAGCGATGACAAGCCTAAGCTAATACTTATCAAATATCAAATTTCCTCAACTTACCTCAACAGAGTAATTGAAATTCTTATAAAGAAAGAATTCTTCGTCTTTTTGTCTTTTATTTCCCTCTTCCAATGATCGGCAATCTCCATACGGATCACCAAGTCGTTTGAATTTTTTCTAAACTCTCGCGGATTATTTGTGTTTTCTGAAAGAGTATATAATCGTTTCTTATCAAAAAAGAAAAAAGAAAACAAAGCAAAAACAAAGCAAAAACAAAGCAAACACAAACCATTCTCACTCCAAAAGCTGAAAGAAACCCAGTTGGAGCATTGTAACCAAAAGCATCAGGAAAAGGGACAATCCATTTATCATGAACAGTTATCCGAAAACCGACAGCCTCTGTTGTAGGCAAATATTCAGCAATATCCGCATAAAGAATCACTTTTAAACCTAAAATTTTCCAAACATTTAACATCAAAAATCTCAAAAATCTCAAAAATCTCAAAATTTTTTACCATAATTTGCTCCAGCTCGATGTGCCTTCAATTTCTTTGTTCTATTGAAATTAAAAGTGAAACAATTTCCATACGTTTGATCATAGTGTTGTTGAAAATCACTGAAACTTTTTTTTGATTAAGACTGAAAAAAGAAAAAAAATCTTTTTCTTACGCATCAATTTGACAATCTCTGAGATTAAATGAGCATCTTTTAATAAAATCTTCTTTATTTTGTGACATCGATGTCTTTTGTTCGTCATTCATGCTAGCCACTGCGAAACGCATATTTTGTTGAGCTTGAGAAGTGATTGCGATCTCGTCTGTTTCCTAAAAGTTGCTTTTCGTCATTTCCTTTCTTGATTTCTTGATTTCTTTGATTTCCTGATTTCCTTATAGTATAACCGTGCAAGAAAAAAGAAATAAGAAACAAGAGCTAAGAAACAAAAGTCTAGCAATCCCTCTCCAGCTACACTTACTGTATATCCCAATGCTTCGACAACTTCCGGTGCCTCAGTTGTTGTTGTGGTCGTTGTACGCAATCCAACTTTATCCAAAGCTTTCTGTGTTTGTGCAGTCATATTGAGTGTTGCAATTTCTTCTTCAGGACCGATCTCCGGAATCACATTTCCCTCATTATTTTGAATGCAATGATTGTAATCTTTGTGACAAAGACAAATATCGACTTTTGATTGAATATCTTCGTATTTCTCTTTTCCTTTATAGAATCTCATTGGACAATGTCCCGAGCTAGGCACACATTCAATGCAAAGCTTTTCTTTCCATGATGAATCTAAACTTTTTGATTTATTTTAATATACAAATAGCTCTCCTCTCCCCAGTCAGACAACAGTATTAAATACTATTATCTGACTCTGACCAGTCTCTGACCAGCTCTCCCCAGTCAGACAACAGTATTAAATAGCTTTAACTAAAAATATTCAGCTGAATACTTAACTTTACATATTTTCAATTGGTTTTTAATATCTTCTTTAATATCTTCTTTTAAAATTGCTCAACTTACATGGGAAACAAGGCCATAATGATTTCGAAACAGTATCCAATTGACATAAACATTTAGCTGGATGAAGATTGAATTGCATAGCTTCGAATCCGAAAGATATTTTGCCTTGTTGTGCGGCCATACATCCTCCTTTCCTTTCTCCCGTTATTGCATCAACATCACATAAACATTGAGCAAAAACTTGATGATATCGACGATTTTGTGCTTTATTCACTCGTCGCTTTCCGCGTTTTACTGAAAAGAATTTTGGCACTAAAGTTAAAACAAATCAAGCCATTTTGGCACAAAAGTTAAAACAATCTGTACTTTGTGCATCAAAAATGTCACACCGCCACTTTCCAGCATACTAAATTCTTCATTTCTTGTTGCCTCGAGAAACATTAAAGAAATAAGTGTGCTAGGAAGGGGATGCTGTTTGACTCTTGTGCACAAAGTACATCAAAAAAGATCATGATCTTCAAATATTTGTCGATATTAACCTCGACTTTGTAAATTAGCATGAAATATGGCGGCAACTCCTTCCGTTTTTTCCCCTTTATTAACGAGTTTCGAGAAAGTTTCCATCTAAAATTTTTTGATTAAAAGAAATTCTCGATTTTCTTTTTCATTTCAAACCAATTTCTTCGTTTCCGCATTTTGCATAATCGAACTTTTCCGATAGGGATTCAAATTGCATAAAGTAACCGATGGAAATGGTGCGTGTTCAAATTTGAGCTAAAATTTTCATCATGAAATTTTTTTCTTTTTTTTTTCTCACAAAATTCACTCACATCAAGATCCACAGTTTTCTTGTATTCCCGATATTTCAAAATGAGATAGATGACTTGCACGACGAGAAATATAAAACAGATCGTGAAAGCCGCATACCAAAAATAACGCCATCGATCACTGGGAGCCAAAGAGGCGTGACTGATGCCATGGAAAGTTGATTGACGCTCAAAGCGTTTACGAAGATCCTGATAATCGAGATGACCGGTCACTCGTATTCGACTTAGACCTAGATTTGAAGATAAGTAACACTGAAAGACAGGCTAGACATAATGACTTATGTCAAAGTTTTGAGTTTCAGACTTAATGAGATAGCTCAAAGAGCTAGAGCTCAGAGATAGCTCAAAGAGTTTTCAAAGGGCTCAAAGAGCTTTTTGATAGATTAATAATTTTTCCTAGTGTCGATAAACGCTGAAATAGCCTCGGTTGTCTGTTTTTCAAAAAAGGGAAGTAAGTTGACAGTGGCGGGACTCGAACCCATCGCAAGGAGCGGTGCCAGTCCTCTGGTCCGGCACACTATTCTCTAAGCCACTGCTGCTCTTTGTTCACTCCATATGGTGCGCTCTTATTGGCTAGATTAGTCGGATTTTGGTCGAAACTTCAAATGCATTTTTTTGTCATTGCTTAACATTAAACATATGAAATCAAACCTTTATACTTAACAGTATATCTTCTAGGTAAAAGCGGCACTGGCCGAACGGGTTTCGGTGTAAACCGCATGACGACTTATAAAGAAAGAAAAATTGAGTTAAAGCATGAATAGAATTGACAAAGATTGGGGGGGGAATGAGTGAATTCACTCAAAAAAAAGTGTGTGCCCTCGTTTCGTGGACAATGATTGTGGGTCTCAAGAAGAGATCCCTCTCAAGTCTCCTCAGCCTAAACCCCTCTCACTGGCAGATAATGTACTGCTGCCCTCAATCCGCCCAATCCTTTCCAACCAACTGATCAATTGGATCCTCGTCGATTTGAGAGAGGAAAAAAAAAACGATAGCCTCAAATAAAAAGATAAGAAAGAACACGTCTTTCGTCTTTTCGAATGATCAAAGCATTTGTTTAACAGCGTCTCGATGGATAAATACGTCAACATTCTTCTTTTTTTTTCTCTCACTCGAACAGCCTTTTAGAGTATTTTAGGTAAACAATCAATATAAGGGATAAGAAGAATTGGAAATATTCGAAAGTTTATGGCTTTGTATGAGAACAAAGGGGAATTTGGTGATAGAAAAAAAAGCGATGATTTAGTTTTGTGAATCCATTATTACCTGACTCTCTAAAAGCCAGCCCGGGAGCCACGGATAATCGCCTCATCCAAGTATTCTTTCCACTACTTTGTCCACTTTTCTGTCGCTCTTCACCATTTACAGTAAATCTAAGAGGAGAAATTTTATAGAATGAATATAATATCATCTTACCGTAATGTTCTACTATCTTCACTCGTTTGTCGACTTCCAACAAAAGCACTCCTTTTACTTCCTTTACTTCCTGTCGTATTCGTGCTGGTTGTTCGATGAGGACGACGAAAACCCTGAGACAAAGTAGATAAAAGAGCAGTGGCTGGCTGTCTGTCTGTCTGTCTGTATGTCTGTATGTATGTCTGTCTGGCTGGCTGGCTGGCTGTCTGTCTCTCTGTCTGTCTGTCTTTTCTCATCCGTCATTGGGCCAAAAAAACTGAAACTTGTGAAAAAGTCAAAATATAATATAGTTGTGTCATTTAAAATGAAAAAGTCGAGTAGATAAGTGGATAAGTGGACATACAGGGTCGAACCCGGATCGTGTGGGTTGTAGACAAGTACTCTCCCGACTGCACTATGGCGGCAACAATCCCCAGGTCAGAAAAAACCGCTCTTAAGCTGTTAAGCGGGTTTTTCTGGTTAATCAAATATCTTAAAAGATATTCAGTTTGGCTTGTTCTTGTTCTTTATCTGTTCTTCTTCTTCTTCTTCTTTTTCTTTTTCTTCTTCTTTATCTATTCTTATTCTTACCTGTGAAAGATCTCTTCCTTCTCGAATCAATTGTTGTGTTGGTGGTGTGTGAGAATCGGTTGTCCCTCTTCCAATTGAACTCTCTTTTGGAGTTGTATTTGATGTGGTTGACTGATCCATTCTCCATAGACAATAGCTGAATATTTTAATCTTTCTTTTAAATAGCGAATATCTAATTCTACCTGTATTCTATTCTTTTTCCTTTTTCTCAATCGAAATCAATATTTCCACCGATTAGTCTTAAACTCGAAAAGATTGGTTGTGTCCAGCGGGTGGAATTGAGGGAGAAATGAGCAGACTCTGGCAAAGGAGATCAAGTGATCGATTGATATTGAAAAAAAAAGGCCAAGAAAGACTCAAAAGATGCACCACAAATCAATTTCACAATAAATTATCTGAAATTTGATTGAAATTCTCAAAATATTTCATTCAGCATGCACTTCATCAATCGGAAATCTGGTCAAAAGAGGATCCGGAAACAGAAACGAGACTCGGAAAGCCAAGTTTGTTCAGAACAAAGCTAACAACAAAGCTAACAACAAAGCTAACAAATTAGTTTATCTTTAGCTCTTTATCAAACACTTTATGTCGGTGAATCATCATTTGGATTATATGCAATGAGTGCTTTTGTCGATGAGACATCCATCACTTATGCACCCAAATATCTTGGACCGCCGTTACTGGATGGAGGAGCCGCGATCAAGATTACGGTATGAATGGACAAATGCTTTTCATGTTCAAGTATTTAAGCTAGAGATTATCTAGTCTTTTTTCATTTTCTTGTCCTTTTCTCTGTGGTTCGTATGAGTGGTAGATATGACTGGGCCTTTCCCTCCCCCATCATGTGTTGATATCTATCCTCGAAATGCTTTTCATTCTTTCTTGGATATCTCTTGAAAAGATATCCTTTGAGAAAGGCGTAGGTGTTAGAGAAGTAAGGAAAAAGATGGATTATTGATAAACAATAATCTAGATCAAAGAAAAAGATAAAGAAAAAACTAAAAAAAAAAGAAGATTTATAGGATGAAGATCGAGTGATGCCATCGGGACGGAGAATCGTTCATGTCGACTATCCGACAATTACCACAATCACTGAAGATGGAGAATTTTTGTTATTAGGTAACATTGCAGAGTTCATTAAGAAAAATTGATTAATGAATCAATTTGTCGAGAAGATAAAGAAAATCAATGAAAAATGGGGTGAACACATGCGCAAGGTGGTTGGAAAGGATGAGAAAAGAAGTAGAGGAAGAGGAGGAGGAAGAGGAGGAGGAAGAGGAGGTGGAAGAGCTTTGAAGTTGCTTAGTCTTCGTACAACATGTGTTCACTATTTTCACTCGCTCAAAATTCCCCTTTTCAGTCTGGTGCTAGTTAGCTCAAAAGAAAAATAGGACTTCCCTAAGATTTTCTCTACCGATCGAACTTTGATCCATTGTCGATTTTCATAATCTCCACCAAATTCCGATCCTTCCTGCTTGTGAATTTATGGGGCAATTAAAAAATGAGAAAAGATAAAGAAATACAAAAGACGGGGAATCTTGTTAAAGGGTTGGCTAACAAATGGCTGTCGACGAGGGTCATAAATGGGTGAAAAGAGAGGCGATTTTCAAAAGACAAAAGAAAAGAGAGTTGCAAGAGGGAAATGAAAGAAGGATTTGAAGAGAAAAAAGATCTTAACATAAAGAAGAAGCAAAGAAAGTGGGGTGGGCCTCCCTCCTCCACGACAGGAATCCCCATATCACCCTCACTCGGTCCACCCAGTGCCTCTGTTCCCCCACCTAAAGCTATTCTCAGCTCTGATTCCTTTCCCCCTTCCCTCCCCTTTCCCCTTTCCCATCCAACTGCCTATCACTCTTGACAAGCATCGATTCTTTTGTGCAAAAGAGTCAGACTCCTCTTTTCCCACCAATAGACTCCTTGTTTCGAATGATTTCTCACTTTTCTCGATGAGATCCCAAAAGGACGTTTCGTCTTGAGAAGGCTGAGATCTCAGATATAGTTAAGCTCGTAATCATGGGGAATTTTGGGTATTCTATAGAGATAGGTGTCAGTTGCTTATTGTCAGTTGTCTGGTTGGCTCAAGTAATGCTGAAAATTCAAGACAATCTACATTGATTTTTACTGACAATGAGTATTGCATTGGATAGATTACGGTCAATTTAGATTTGACCATCTTTCCCCAGAGGGTCCTGTTATAGGATTAAAGCTTGGATTATCCTAGACAGTGAAAGGCCAAAGCCAGGGCTGATCCAGGTACTTTGTTTGTCTATCCTTGTCAAATTTGTCAAGAACTTTGTCAAGGCTTTTATAACCATAGATACCTAGTATGGGTTACGCCTTATGTGAAAAAGTTTATCACATTATGAACTAGTTTTGTGATCTGTTCACAATGAGCAAAAATCTCTTCCACCCTCACCCTCGATCTCGTCTATCAATATCTATCATAGATTGCGATAAAAGATTTATTTAACAGGAATAATGTGGACATAATAGAATAGACAAGAAGACACAATAGAATAGACAACAAGACACAATAGAATAGACAACAAGACACAATAGAATAGAGAAAACTCAACACACAACTCCTATTAAACAAATTGTGTTAAAAAATCTATCTAAAAAGAAAATTGAAGTCACCAGGCATTGAACCGTTCACCTTTGAACCATGGCATTGAACCGTTCACGTTCACAGACAGACAGCATTGAACCGTTCGATTCATAGACAAGACTCTTAACCTGTCAGCCATCTGGTACAGAAATACAGCTCTCAAAACTTTTACACAAATAGAACATCGCTGTTAAAACGCGGAATCGGGGTATATGCCTTTTGCAAAAGCAATGTTAAGTTGATATCAAATTTCACTCACTTCTGCACTTTCTGCTTGAAATGACAGGTGTGCGTGTGTCTAAAACATCAGAAAAATACAAGAGTTGAAAGTTTTTCGACAAATATGTAATGAAAATGAATAGGCAATAGAAAGTGTATCGAAATCGAATAAACTCTCCGATTTTGTAGGCTACCACGAGCCGCCAAGTACCGATCTCTCGTTGGGTCTCTTTCAAACAAAATTCCCCTCAACGCCGACAATGCCATCGATCGATTATGTGCCGATAAATTCACAAAAACAAATCGACAATGAAAATCATAAGGTTTCCTTTTGTGCTCGAAAAGTTTCTTCAACTTTTTTTTTGCTTTAGTCAACGAATTCTGGAGTACATTCTTTAAATGATGAATCGTTGGCGATTATGTTATTCCATATTTATGAGAAATATCCGAATTCATTCTATTTATCGGTGATTACAATCATCTTTCTGATCATCACAACTGTTTGGTTGTGCGGACGACAGGTAACTTTTTTGGTGCTCTTAAAAAAATTTACATTCGTTTTTGTTTTCAGTCAGCCGTGGCAATGATACAACAAAACGAGGCGAGAAGTGCACAGACATCAAGAAATTCAAACAATCCACGCGGATGGTTTAATGCAAAAAGTAAAATTTATTATTTATAAAAGAGGACACAAAACTTTGTGTACGAGCAAAAGGCGCACTATCTGGCGCCCTATTTGGCTCACTTGAAGTCTGTTTGATTGCCATTTTCTTGGTCGTGTTTTAACCGAAAAAGCTAAAACTTATCTAGAAAACCTTAGAATATATTTTAGCTCTGTCATTTAAAATGAAGAAATTTAAAAATTAGAACTGGGCGCGACACCCGGGAGTCGAACCCGAACCGTGTGGGCTATAGACAAGCGCGCTTCTGACTGCACCACGGCGACGATAACGTCCAGCCCCAAAAACCCGCTCTTACCCTTGTCTACGGCGCACATGACTCGGGTTCGATAATCGATAATCATAATTCTTGTCGCTGTGGCGCAGTCGGGAGCCACAGCGTCTACAACCCACAAGACCCGGGTCCGATTCCCGAATCTTTCACCCGACTTCGATTTTTAAAAGATTTTTTAAAATTTTTTAAAACTAAAATATATACTAAGGTTTTCTAGAGAAGTTTTAGCTTTATCGGTTAAAAAACGGCCGAGAAAATGTCCGTAAAGATCGATTTTCGGCTGGTTTAAGTTAGACAATTTTATTGACAATAAATAGATAAACAGGAAAGACTTCTAGGTGATGATGTGCCGAATGGCTGGTTTGCCGTGGGAAAAGTTCACTATAATCCACAACAAATTTTGGGTCGAGGCTGTGAAGGGACCGTTGTTTACAAGTAAAAAAAAAAGTCTCAGAATGAAGAAAAATTGTAAATTTAGGGGTAAATTCGACAGTCGAGATGTGGCCGTGAAAAGGGTTGTCTCGGAATTCATTCGATCAGTTGACAGAGAAGTCGATCATTTAAGAGAAAGTGACACTCATCCACATGTCATCCGATACTTTTGCAAGGTTTTTGTTTTATGAAAAATTTATATAGAGAATGATGTACATTTGTGTGCCGACAAAAGCACGCGGCAAGCTTGGTATCTTGCTCTTGAATTGTGCTTCAAGTGAGCCAGATAGGGTGCCAGATAGTGCGCTTTTGCTCGGACACAAAGTACGAGCACATCATTTTGTTCTATTTACTTAAGAAATGCACAAAAAAAGTGCCTTTTTAGGAATCAGACAGTCAATTTTGGTATCTTGCTCTTGAATTGTGCATCGCATCTCTCAATGATTACGTTGAACAAAAAGCCGTCAGACAACAGGTTAGACTAATCGATTTGTAAGGGACATTTTTTTGCGTAGATTCCGAAAATCGTAGCTTCAGAGCGATTCCAGCACTCTATCATAAAGAAAAACAGTTTTGAAGCTTTGAAACAGCAAAAATTTTGAGTATCCCATCTTGTGCGTGCTGAAATGCGTCAAAAATACCGTATTTCTAAATATTAATATTATCATTGTGTAGCCATTGAAAAGAGCTTTCAGAAAATGTATAACACTAATAGTTTAAGCTCAAAGACAAGCGAGTTACAGACGCGCGAAAGTGACGATCGCTTTTCAAATATGATATTTCATTGTCCAGTACCTGTCAGCAAAGCTCATTTGTAGAGCGTTCGCCCGATAAGTGTCACGAGTTTGAATCCTAGCCAGCTCCTACTCATAAATGTCCAACTCATATTGTCCAACCTTTTCAGATTGATGTACCTGTAAAGGAGTTATTGAGACAAGCAAGTGATGGTCTTGCCCATCTCCATTCGATCAACATTGGTATAGAAAAAAAGCTTTTAATCAAATTATCGAATTTTCAATTCAGTTCACCGCGATATGAAACCACAAAACGTGCTTTTATCTGTGGCAAATTCAAAGGGACAGGTATGTAAGCTTTAAATTTTAAAAAAAAAGAGAAATGATTTAGGTTCGAGCTGTGATCTCAGATTTTGGTTTATGCAAAAGGGTGAGACCTGGAAGGAATAGTCTGTCGCAAAGAAGTGGAATGGCTGGAACGGATGGATGGATTGCACCCGAAGCTCTATTTGAGAAGAGTACGGTAAGGATGAAGAATTTGATATCAAATAGAAACATTCTATGATGTTAAAGTGTTATTCTATTAAAGTTTTAATTTCAGTCCTATCCAGTAGATGTCTTCTCACTTGGTTGCATCTTTTATTATGTTCTTTCTGGTGGTTCACATCCATTTGGAGATGCGTTTCAACGACAAATGAATATCATGAATGGAAAAGCAATCTTTAAACATTTAGAAGAAGATAAAAGTGAGAAAATCGAATGATCGATGAGAAATTTTCTTCTAGGCAATCACGAGGCGATTTCTCTTATCTCTCAAATGATTCATTTGGATGCTTCATCTCGTCCTTCAGCTCAATCGGTTCTTCTTCATCCAATGTTTTGGTCTTCCGATAAGAAATTACAATTCTTTGGGGTAAATTTTATCATTACTAGCTTTGGGTTTTCAATTTTAAATACAGAAAAACATTTCCTAATTCAGGATGTTTCGGATCGAGTCGAAAAAGAAGAAGATCAAGCTCCAGTCGTGCAAAGATTGGAAACAAATGCGAAAGCAGTTGTAGGAGGAAATTGGCGAAATCATATTTGTTCGGCGCTTGCTGAAGGTGATTTTTGTTTCATTAAAAAAGTACATACCGTAAATACTGTAATATGTAATATAGATCGTTTTAAAAATTTCAGGGACAACAGAAAAGAACCGATACTGTAATACTGTAATCCCCATCCCCATACTGTAATACTGTAATCCCCACCCCCATAATGACGGTGCGGAGTGTTGCGTGGTCTAGCTTTGAACGAGTTTTTCTCGACACTGGTTCATGCTACAATGCGCGCTTAGGTATCAAAAAATAGCCCTGAATTTCAGCTATTTTTTGATACCAAAGACGCATTTTTTGAAAGTACGGGCGCTTTGAAAAAAATGAAATACTAAAAAACTTTTGCGACTACGCGACTGTACGAGGGGGTGGGGTACTATTACAGTATTTACGGTACATTTTTTTTCTTTAGATTTACGTAAATTTCGCACCTACAAGGGTCACTCGGTGAGGGATTTGCTCAGAGCGATGCGAAATAAAAAACACCATTACAGAGAACTTCCAAAAGAGGTAAGAAAGGAGAAAAACGGGAATTGCAAAGCTTTTTTCAGGTTCGTGATTCACTAGGCGACATTCCTGAGCATTTTGTGCAGTATTTTACCTCAAGATATCCATTGGTAAGTGTTTAGAATAGATAAAAAAGATCTCTTTGTTTAGCTACTTCTCCATTCATACGATGCACTCAAATGGTGTTCACAAGAACCGGTATTCTGGAGGTGATTATATCATAATTTATTTTTATAAATTAAAATATTATTATAGTTATTATTCGGATCATACACGAGAAACAATGGCTCCAGAAATCAAAAGAGTTGAAGAAGAAAGGAGGCAAGAAAAAGAAGAAAGGGATACAGCTGAGGTGGGAAGATTTTTACTCTGATTGAGAAATAGAAATTCCTATTTGTAGTACTACTGTACTTTAGTAACTTTAGTACTGTAGTAACTGTAGTGCTGTAATAACTGTAGTACTGTGGTACTGTGGTACTGTGGTACTGTGGTACTGTAGTACTGTAGTACTGTAGTACTGTAGTATTGTAGTACTGTGGTACTGTAGTACTGTAGTACTCTAGTACTTTAGTACTATAGTACTGTGGTATTGTAGTACTTCAGGTTCAATCTTTTAAAAAGTATAAGCAAAGACTTTTATAGGTTTGGCGACGTGGAATGGCTGTGAAAAAGATTGAGACAACAATGATGACATTAGTAAATCAACCAACAACAATAAATAATGATCAAAGTATGAATGAAAGAATGTTTGATGAGGAAGAGATATCACTGACAACAATGACAACGACAAAGCCAACGACAAGTCAAGTGATTGAACCACCGCCTGGCTTTGAAGATGTTGTACCAACAGAAATTAAGGAAGAGGATCATTTGCATGAATTGGTCTGTTTTTACCGTAATCTTGTCTAGATTTTATTTAATATATCTATTTTTATATTATTTATGTGTATCATTTGTAGATCATTTAGATTAAATTAAATTAAATTAGATTAGATTAAATTAAATTAAATTAGATTAGATTAAATTAAATTAAATTAGATTAAATTAAATTAAATTAAATTAGATTAAATTAAATATAGATCACTAAATATAGAACATTTAGATGAATAGCTCGGTTTTTACCGTAATTGAATAAAAGAAAAGTTACGATAACTTTTCAAAAAGGATAACCAATCAATCAGGGAAATTTTTAGATTCTTCAACAAGTTTCTCTAGAGGAAACGGTTACAAATGAATCACAAATGATTGACGATTTTCAGGTACCGTAAATACTGTAATAGTACCCCCACCCCCATAATGACGGTGCGGAGTGTTGAGTAGTCTAGCTTTGAACGAGTTTTTCTCGACACTGGTTTATGCTACAATGCCCGCTTAGTTATCAAAAAATAGCTGAAATTCAGGGCTATTTTTTGATACCAAAGACGCATTTTTTGAAAGTACGGGCGCTTTGAAAAAAAATGAAATACTAAAAAACTTTTGCGACTACGCGATTGTACGAGAGGGGGGGGGGGTACTATTACTGTGTTTACGGCAAGTTTATCTCTCATCAAAGTCAGAAGCTAAATCAAATTTAGTTCGGAAAAGCACGAAAGAAAAAGAAGCAAAGGAAATGAATTTGAATTTGAATGAATTTGAACGAATTTGAATGGATTGATTGTTATCTTATCACGAATCTTCTTGTTATCTTCTCTTTAAGTAAATCCCAAATTCTAGATTTCTCAATCTTCCCCCTTTTCGTTCACAAAAATTTTCACTGGCAAGCATTTTCCGAGAAAACATTTTGCGGTCGCGCACTAAAATCCACTAAATACCGTAATCCGCCATTTTGGCGTAAAAATCTTTTTTTTTCTTACTTTTGCTCAATTTCTACGCGTCGTTTTTGTTTCCTAGATTGTTTTTAAAGCAATTAGCGTTTCACTATAGAGATCAACTTTATTTATCAATAGAAACAATAGAACAAAAGAAAATAGAATAAAATTAGCTAAAGTTGCAATAAAAAAAAGGGATTTAGTGTATTTTAGTGCGCGCGAACCGGAAAAATGTTTTCTCGGAAAATGTTTGCCAGTCAATTTTCAGGATTTCCTTTAATTTTGCGGGTTCTCTTCTGTACTCTTTTGTGGGTGTGTGGGTCACTTTTGTGGGTCACTTTTGTGGGTCACTTTTGTGGGTCACTTTTGTGGGTCACTTTTGTGGGTCACTTTTGTGGGTCACTTTTGTGGGTCACTTTTGTGGGTCACTTTTGTGGGTCACTTTTGTGGGTCACTTTTGTGGGTCACTTTTGTGGGTCACTTTTGTGGGTCACTTTTGTGGGTCACTTTTGTGGGTCACTTTTGTGGGTCACTTTTGTGGGTCACTTTTGTGGGTCACTTTTGTGGGTCACTTTTGTGGGTCACTTTTGTGGGTCACTTTTGTGGGTCACTTTTGTGGGTCACTTTTGTGGGTCACTTTTGTGGGTCACTTTTGTGGGTCACTTTTGTGGGTCACTTTTGTGGGTCACTTTTGTGGGTCACTTTTGTGGGTCACTTTTGTGGGTCACTTTTGTGGGTCACTTCTATCAATTCTTGTCCTCATTTGCTTTAAGTTTTAAAATATGACCGTAAACGCTGAAATGAAAACAATGATTTTCTGATTACAGAGGTATTACGGGATCTTTTTTTGTGTGTGTGTTTTCATTTAGTTATTCTGAATACTCTGCTAATCGGGGATAATGTTTTGTGTCTTTTCTTTATTCTCAAATAAAAGCCTGTGATTTCTTTTATTTTCGATCAAATATTGTGATGATCATCTTTTCTTAATTAATTAATTAACCAGCGTAATTAATGAATTCTTTTTCTTCTTCTTCTTTGGCCATTTTGTTTACATCTTCCTTTTTTCTTCTGTACTATATTTGAACGATTTTCGCATTTTTCTGTACATTGAATAAATAAAAATTGATTGATAGTTGATAAAAAAAAGAAAAATTAGATGGTACTGATCGTTTTGTGGTCAAGGTCAATCCAATCGATTGCTGAGCTATCCAATCGATTGCTGAGCTATCCAATCGATTGCTGAGCTATCCAATCGATTGCTGAGCTATCCAATCGATTGCTGAGCTATCCAATCGATTGCTGAGCGATCCAATCGATTGCTGAGCGATCCAATCGATTGCTGAGTATTACGAAATGAGTGAAGAGGGGCAATTCGAATATTTCTCCTTAATTTTCGTTCAATTGATTGGGATGTATTGGGAAGAATTTATGATGAGAGAATTCATCAATTTATCATGTTTAGAATATCGTGAAGATGTTTCCCATGAAAAGAACAGATATTCATTCTGTTGTGATGAAACAATTCAAATTTTACAATATATTTCGTTAAAAAAAAACAAGTACAGGGATGTTCCAGGGACTAAATCTAAATATCTAAACCCCAAAAATCTTTTTACAATTTTTTGGCTATCGCTTTCGCTCAAGAATCTAAAGAATGGGCTACTCGTTCAAAATCCATAATCATTCCATACTTGAAAGAAATTAGCGTTAAAATGTTTGATGGAATAGCCTCTTCACTCATTTCGTAATCCCCTGCAATCGTTTCTTTTCGCGCGATATCAGCGAGTGGAATAAATCTGGTTTTATTGTAATTTTGAATTGAAAAAGTGCATTATTTGTGACCGAACGGTTTTTTTTTGTAAGTTTGTACGGTTCCTTGCAAGTTTTGTCGAAAAAAAGTCATCTTTAGCCGATGAACTCTGATCGAAGAATGGAAATTGGTGAAATCCCCGTTGAATCTTCGACATTTCATCACATCGAGCATTCAGAAATGAAATGAAATGTTGAATGTTGAATGTTGAAAGGATATTGTGAGATCGAACTCATCATTTTCACTGATGTAATTCAAATTCCTCTCCAATTCAGCCAAACTCAAAATTGATCAAAGCCTCTCCAAAATTTGATCGAGAAAAATTGCAAAAAGCAAAGGAATCTTTGATGAGATTAAAGGTTTAAAAGGGATAACGAAATTCTTTTACATTTGAATCGCATCTTTGCAATACTTTACATATCAGTTGTTCAAATTTTAATACTTTAATATTTAATACAATACCTTTGAACGGACTAACGAAATCGAGCGTTTGTCCTGAAAGCATACCTCTAAAGTTCTTTTCTGATCGCTTTAACAATTTCTGACACTTCTTTAGGGTTACTAAACGTTTAGATGGCTTTGAAAATCAATTTTGTCCCATTGCAAAAAAGGAAACAACCATTGCTTGTCTAGGATTCGAATCTAAGCTTGGCTTGGTTTTTAGCTAAGCCAAAGCCAAGACGTTGACTTAACTTGACTTGATTTGGGAAATAGAATCTCGATCCAGCCCTGATCCCCGTTCTTTGTTCCTTATTTTTTTCAAATTCAAACCATTTTCCTATTTTTTCAATTTCCACTTGAAATCTTCTCAAATCTGCAATCGGTTTCCCCTTTGAAAGAATGAAAAGACAAAGTCAAATCAAAAAAAAAGAGAGAAATGTCACAATTTCACGCTTCACCTCTTCTCTGAACAAAGAAGAGAGACTTCAAAACAGAAAAGTTTGTTTTTGTTTGATGGGGCTTGAAAAAACCGCGAAATACTACAAAAAAAAGGCTTGGGAAAGACGGGAAAACATGGGTAAACTGGTGGATTCGATGTGGAATCCATCTATGTCTTGTCTATTATCGGTTTATGAATGAAGAGCCTCACTTTGCAAGTTCATAACTTTGTCTAGAGATATTATTCTCAAAAATTTTATATTATTTTTAAAGAGGACACTTTCGAATGATATGAAATAGAAGTTGATTCGGATAAAATAGAGTTTCATTGAGCTATTCAATTGAAAAATTTTTTGAGAAAACATCAGCTAAATTGACTGATTGTGAGAGAATATTGTCTGGTTTCTGATTTCAAATTTGAGAGAATATTGTCTGGTTTCAATGAACCCTTATCCGTTATAAAATGCTCAAAGTGTCCGTAAATACAGTCGAAATTGGGGTAAGCATCTTTCCCAAAAAAATTTGGGCATAGCGACACCTTGGGGGATTGAGGCTTGGATTCTATCGGTTCCAAAAGGAAAGCACCTTACCCCAGGACGGTTTGCCAGATGAAGAGCGATTGTGCGCGCGCACAAAGAACATTTCGCCAGTGATTTTCACAGGGATTTCCTGCTTTTCCTTTGGAGATCGCATAAAAAGATATTCAGCTTTAAATTTGTAGCCGGGGGTTTTCGGGATCGCGAAATCGATTCGAGATATTCATTTTATTGAGTCTTCTCTTCTGAATGGTTTTAGAGAAAAAGTCTATTAAGCAAATCAGCTTTATTTTCATCAACTTTCCTTTTTATCTCTAATTTTCCGGAATTTCCTTTTTTCTTTTCCTTCAAATCCTTCTCAAGAAGTTCACACATTTCTTTTCAAATTTTCTATACTTTTCTTATAGTTTTCCAATAAAAAGCGAGACTTTTACAAGGAAATTTTACAATTTTCCTTCTTTTTTATCACAATTACAATTATAATTCTTTGCAAATTGATCCACTTTTATAAATAACTTTTCCCAAATTTGACACACAAAAAAAAACAATTAATTGCTATAGAATTCTCATGAGATTTGAAAAAGAAAAAAAAAGTTTTTTTGAAAACGAAATGTTTTATAGGAAAACTTCTGAAAATCTTCTGAAAATTTTCTGAAAAATCTGATTTTGTTTGTTTGTTTGTTTGTTTGTTTGTTTGTTTGTTTGTTTGTTTGTTTGTTTGATCAGTTTGTTTGATCAGTTTGATCTGCACCGATCCTCCACCGATTTTAAAAGGGCTATTTCGTTACATTTTAAGTGACTTTGTCATCTTTTATCTAGTACATTTTTCATGTCGTTTTTGCACTTTATTTCTTTCTGAATAAAGTATTTATATTAAAATCTTCTGAAAATCTTTCTTTTCCCACCCAGAAACGTTTCCTATTGTTTTCAGTTGGAAAAAATGCAAATAGATATGCTAATTTCTTTAAATTTCGGTGCGCTTTTATCGATGCGAATTTCTAAAAAACAAAAAAAGAAGAATGACATTCAATATTGAAAAGAAATAAAAAAAAACCGAATTGAAATGCGAGTGTTTGCGAAGAAAAGAATCGAAATCCTCTTCACTCTGTCTTCAGACACTTTTTTAGGGTTACTAAACGTTTAAATGGCTTTGAAAATCAATTTTGTCCCATTGCAAAAAAGCAAACAACCATTGCTCATCTAGGATTCGAATCTAAGCTTGGCTTGGCTTTCAGTTAAGCCAAAGCCAAGACTTTACAATACTTTACATATCAGTTGTTCAAATTTTAACGCACAATACCTTTGAACTGACTAACGAAATCGAGCATTTGTCCTGAAAGCATGCCTCTAAAGTTCTTTTCTGATCGTTTTAACAATTTCTGACACTTCTTTAGGGTTACTAAACGTTTAAATGGCTTTGAAAATCAATTTTGTCCCATTGCAAAAAAGCAAACAACCATTCCCCGTCTAGGATTCGAATCTAAGCTTGGCTTGGCTTCTGGAAATCCGAGTCTTTGTGAAAAAAAGAATCGAAATCCTCTTCACTCTGTCTTCAGACATTTGGTTCATGCACTTGG